AGTTATCGAGCCATTTCTGTAGCATTAAATCAACAAATTACTGGTGATGCCAGAGGACAGAGCGCTCTGTGTGAAGCTTGTTTAGTTGCTTGTCAACACTTGGGTGCAACAGCTATGGGGGGAGGGAGAGCGGCTCAGATACAGAGGCTGAGGACTAATTATTATCCGAAAGGGCTTCATTTGAAAGTAAAATGATAACATTTTAATTTCATCTCTTAATGAAGCAATACAAATTTGTTAATTAGAGCGATTGTTTGAGTGACAGGCATGTAACCAAGCTGTCATTTCTTCTTCACAGTTGACAGATCCGTTCAGGCCCATGCTGAGGGTAAGAAATCTTCTTGTGATACAGTTTGTCAAGCTTGTCTCAGTCCCCACCGGGTTGGAGCAGCAGACTCATTAGAGAGCAGTGCTGTGTTCCAGCTCAGTGCTTCACACCCTGTTTGCTGAGCAGTGTGGTCAGTCCTTTTTCTCATGCATCTTCTGGTCACTTGAGGAAAAGGCACAAAGTTGTTTTCTCTTCTTCTAATGTAACCCTATTGTTGATAATCCTCCTATTGTGCTGGCTTAGAAAGTCTCCTGAGCCAAATCCTAAACAGCTACTGTGGCAGGGATCCCCTGTCATGGAATCACAGACCGGTTTGGGTTGGAAGGGACTTTAAAGCTAATCCAGAGGGAGTCAGATTCATTTTGAAACCCAGAGTGATGTTTGGAAGCACTTTCATTTTCGCCTTTTGGTGGAAAAGTTGGTCTTGGAACAGCTGCACTTTGGGAAATGAACTCCCTGTACAGTTGTGAAGCAATCCAGCCATGCAGAGCAGCTGCAAACTGAGAGACAGTTGCATTGATCTCAGCAAAACAAGCTGCATTCTTAGCCAGTGGCATCAGAAGATTACAAGAGCGTGTAAAACCCGAGCATGAGTTCATTTGGAGAGGAGAGAGACCAGGAGCATTCCTGGATATGTAGAGAAACTGCTTAGGAAGGGACAAATTCTTTGTGTGCCTGGTTTCCCAAGAGGATGGAGCGGGACTGAAGGAGACCTTGTGCTTCCATTGTCTTTATATGGAGAATCCCCTAGACCAAAACAAACTGTGCTGAGAGGGGCCAAGAGTTGCTAGAATTAGAGTAACAGCATCACAGTGTTCTGGAAAGTTACTGATTGACGTTGTATCCCTTTGTTTTTTCCAGAAACCTGGAAAGTGGTGCGCTATGCATGTCCACATCGCCTGGCAGATATACCATCACCAACAGAAAGTCAAGGTGAGTCTTCTGGGCATGCCTCAATTTCACATGAGGTACACAGGGCAAACCTGTGTGAGGAAGAGTTTACCTCTGGCTGTTAGCAGTTCTGTGCCATGGCTAATGCCTTTGTTAAAGTAACCATGTGTAGCATTATAGTGTAGCCCTCCACTTCATAGAGGTGGCATCTCAGAATTAAAAACATAAAGGTAGAGTCTCAAAGGAATGTCTGTGCTAGCTTGTATCAAGTACACCAGATCTTTGGTGAACAACAACGGGTTTGTAGCCAGAAAGAGCGAAATGGGTGTGCCTGTGAGCTACAATACTGCTTTTGTTTATGGCTGAGGACATAAATTTAGCAAGATTGGATTTTTTTTAAGCCTGGAGAAGGTAGGTATGTGTATCCCTTTCCTCTTATTTAGTGTGCACACCCAGAAGAGGGCACAGGAAGATTCCTGCTTGTCCCTAAGATGCTTCATCCAGCGTGGGTGCACAGCCTCCCATCAGCCTTCTTCCCAAGCTGTCTCCTAGCTGGAGGTTGGGACCTCAGCGTGTCTGGGCTGGTCAGGCAGACACAGCCTCTCAGATGGGGTAATGTTATCCAGACACTCTCATTGCGCTGAATCTTTCCTTTGTTACACATGTTTTGAGAATTCAGGGGTAAGGGCCATGGCCAGTTCAGGCTCTGCTGAAACAGAGGTCAGAAAAAAACAAATAATTTATTCATCTAATAGTTAGGGTATTTCCAGTCTTACTTCAACTGCATTTTCACTGCACATGGACTCTGAAGAAGGTTTCTTTCCCTTTACAGTATTTTCACTGTATTTGTCAGTGACAATTCTGTGTTGCTCCTGCAGTTGTTCAGTAGGTCAGGGAAGGCTGGTGCTCTTTGTTGTTCATCCTTGTACTTCAGGAGTCCATAGCTTGTGTTGGAAAGTACAGTTAACAAGGAGTCCATTACACTTTGCAGTCTGTGCATGCAGTTGAATTGTATGAGATAGTGCTATAGGAATATGAAGATGTTGAACAGCTACTAAAACCTGCAGCTAATAGAGTTTAAAAATAACCCTTTTAAACAAGGTTGACAGGTTAATTTGCTGCAGTAGACATATCTCTCTTCTCTGCTTCCTTATGTTTCCCCTGCTAGTGATCTTCATTCATCTTCCCATTATCAAAAAAGACAAGATTATAGACCTCGAGTGTTATATGTCCTTTTTCTTATTTTATTGAAAAGGTATTTTCTTGAAATGAAATTATTATTCCCATGCTATCTATGTCCTTTGAATCTTCCTTGATTTGATATTCAGAGAGAGGTCATACCCATGTATTTATAACTTCTCATAAATGCCATTTTCATGCAGCCATTTCTTTTACCTAATACTTTTTTAGCTTGCAAGTTAAAAAACAGGAATAAAGCCAAGAAGTACAGGAAAGGATGTTCCTTGACTTTTTGAAGCTGTGCGTGATAATAATTTCAAGAGTAATTGGGAAGCGCATTTCACTGTCTCAGTTTAGATCAGAACATTAGATATGGTCTGCAGTCAGTAAGGCGAGTTGGCTGATGTCCTCATGGGCTGTCAGACTCACACACAGAGGCAAAAGCCACCATTAAACCATGTCACTAAGAGCCTCATCTACATGGTTTGGGAACACCAACGAATTGTTCCTGATCTCCATCTAAACCTTCCCTGGAGCAGCTTGAGGCTGTTATCTCTTGTCCTACCATTTGTTACTTGGGAAAAGAGACAACTCCCATCTCACTGTAACTTCCTGTCAGGTAGTTCTAGGGAGTGATAAGGTCCATTCACAGCATAAAAATCTGGCACTTCAAGGGAGGCATGTTTCTGAACTTTGCTTCTTTAAAAGCATGACCTTCACTTGGCTGTCTTTTCCATGGCAGTGTTCTTGCAGACCGTTACCTCAAACCATTGCTAAAACCATTTTTGTTGTTGTTTTTTTTTTGTTCTCATAGCTACACAGACATGTTATTAGCACTTGAAAAACAGCTACTAGGCATGCACATTAACTTGGTCATAACTTTTTAATATGCATATTTATATCACTGTAATGGTCTGGACTCTGAGCTGGCACAGTATTAAATGCTGATTTATAAAGCGTAAAAGCTGCAGAATGACTGTTAAGATCTACTGGTTCAGTGTGGCCCATTTGTAAATCTTTTCAGCTGACCTGCACAGTTAATCAGCAAGCCGTGTCTGGGGAGTTCTGGGAATTGGGAATTTGGTTTTTCTCTTCATTCTCTAAAACTACTAAAGTAGGGACCACTGACATGAGTGCCATGGCACAAAGAAGAGCCCATCCTTCATCCACTTAGCATTAACAATACAGCTACCTCAGCAAATTTACCTTAACAAAGAAGCCTGCGCTTCTAATACCCACAGTGATACAGTGCCTTAAGTTTTCAGTGCAAGCAGTCAGAATGGGACTTAGTTTTTTTGACTCTACCACACATCATCTGTAATTGGATTCATTTTAGCCCCTCACTTACTCGATTGCAACTTGAGAGGTTATGAAAATACAGTGGATCAAGTGTGTGTTGACTGCGCTCACATTGAAATCGGTGGTTCTGGTGTCCACTGTCTGGCAGGAGATTGCTGCAGGGGGAAGAGGGCAGCTGCCTCTGCTACTGTTGATGCTTTCACCCAGCTGTAACAGGCCTGCCCACCCAGGATCAGATCCAAACTAACATTCCTCTTCAGCTTTCTTGTTATTATTTTAAGACAGACCTATTCTTACAGCTAAGCCAGCTTCTGAGGTCCTTTCAAAGATTTTTATTTGTGTTATTTTAAGTCAGGTCTGAGCTGAAATGCTTTGCTCCAGAGGGATCGATGTGAGCATATGTGAAACGGTTGAGATTGGTGGAGAAATGTGCACTGGGAGCCTGAGATTTTCTTCCTCCGCTTCCCTTCCAGGGAAACAGCTGTTCACCTATGCTCAGTGTCCAAAAGTTAATATTCTGCTTAAAACATGAGTTAGTATGAATAAATTGCTATAACTACATCATTCTGAAAGTGCCTTTTGCTGCTGTTGTATAGGACAGTCTCTTCCAAATGCTGCTCTTGCATTTCAGAAACAGATGCAGTCTGATCCGCACAAGCTGGACTTTGGCCTGAAACCAGAATTCCTGAGCAGGCCACCAGGTCCCAGCCTTTTTGGAGCCATCCATCACCCCCATGACCTGGCCCGGCCCTCAACTCTCTTCTCCACAGCCAGTGAGTACTGAGAAGTGAAATCTCCTTGTGGCACACTCATTAAAATGCTCACCCTTGCCATGTTAAAAGGAAATTTCCCTTATGCTTTGGCTTATGAACTCTCTGGAAGATGTGCCAGGGGCTGTTAGTCTATATGATAAATATATTTTAAATTATTGTCTGTGCTTTTGAAAAAGGCCAACCTGCTGAACTGCCATACAGGTAGTAAATGGAGGAACATTTCTTCACACAGTGATGTCTAATGCATCATGGAAGTGACAAGTTGGAAATAAGTTGTATTTCACATGCTTTTGATTTTTACCCATACCGAAACATTTCCCCCCTACCCCTTGTATTCTAACTGGGAATTTCTGTTTGGAAAAGCAGTGATATTTATAAGATCTTGACACAAGAGCCTTGCCCAGTGTACAGCAGTCTCTGCTGACGTGAGCTGCCATTCAAGAACTGATAGTCAGGCACAGAGCACAGTGAGTCCCTTCCTGAGCTTTTGGTAGAAATTGACCATTTCTGCTTTGTTTTGGCAGGCGGGGGTCATCCAGCCGGCACCCCTTTTGGCCCACCGCCTCACCACAGCAACTTCCTCAACCCAGCTGCTCACTTAGGTATGTTTTCTTTGCAACTAACGAGGAGTGAATAGAGTGCAGAAGTAACATGAATTGACTGTTGAGACCATTGAAGGTTTTCCACATGGAGACACTTGCCTTCTTAATCTTTACATATTGCATATTTTAGCCAAGTAGCTGGTCTAAATGCACATCATAGTATCACTGACAGTATGTTTTGAAATGCTTCTGAGAACATCTGGATGTTAGAGGAGCAGAGTGACAGGGCTGGTTAGGTTTCACTGTAGTCATGTTTATAACCAAGTCAGAAAAAAAATGCTGTAAGGTTTCAGTTCATAGAGATGTTTCTTTTCTTAATTCCTATTTAAATTGTCTGCTTTTCTATTCAAATGAGTGGGAAATGTAGCCTTAGAATCTTGTGAGTTGGCCTCAAATGTATCAGTTAGTGAAAATCAGTGAATGCACAGTTAAAACCACAACCACCCAAGTTGCTGATGTTGTACCAGGATGGTCTGCTGTCTATTGGAGCATCTGAAATGAAGACTCTAAGATGGCATTTTATTTTGCATGGGGAAGGTTTGGGAATGTCACAGAATTGATACAGGAGACACACATGGGAGGTTTATTGTTCTGCCCTTAGCTGCCTATAGAAAAAACTAGGTTTGGTCTTCCTAAATACCAGTGATGTTTATCAGAAGTAGTTTCATCAAAATGGTTAGACTTCCTCAAAAAGAAGTGGGAATAGAATTTGCTTCCCATGACTTACCAGTACTTTTCAGTCCAGTGTTCTATATGGTATTAGCAGCAAATACCAAGAGAAATACAAAATGTTACAGTCAGCATGACATACCAGTATAATAGGACATTTTATTTATATCCTGGCTATGTTTTAGGAGACGTGGCCTGAAGGTGTTAGGAGCACAGTTGCCAGAGTTAATAATAGTCTTGCCTAGCCAGGGACATTTCCTGACAAAGAGCATGGAACTGAATTGGAATAAAAGGAAATAAATACGGAGATGGTTGCAGCTTTTAAATGAATGAGGTACTTGTGCTGAAGCGCAGGCCTTAATACTGGTTCTACTTTTAACATCTTGTTTGATTTGAAGGGGAAGTTTTCCTAGTAAGATGATCCCGTACATACTGTCTGGAAAAAAAATAGTGGTTTATGTCCCAGTCACAGCTGTGTTGTGAGAGGATGATGATCAGCTACTGATGGGCACAGGCAGAGCTTTCATGCTGTAATGCAGTTGGATAGCACGCTCATGCTTCATGATAAGCTGCAGCTCTTTCTTGGTTTGCAGAGCCTTTCAATCGACCTGCTTCCTTCAGTGGCCTCACTGCAGTGGGTAGTAACGCCTTCGGGGGACTGGGGAACCCCACAGTCAGTGAGTAACCTCTTTATCAATTCCTCTTTGCTGTGTAACTTAGGATATTGAGTGATGGGGACTTACGATATTGAGTGATGGGTTGCTTAGACCATATACCACTAAGAATTTGAAAATTGACCTTTTTCCTGTAAATTACAGCAATTTATAGCATCAGTAAATTGTTTCTGTTAGTTACTTAATAGTTTGGGTTCAGCATAGTGCTAAATGTTACCATTACATCGTTCAATAAAAGAAAGGGGGGGAAAAAGAACATAGAACCTTTGAGTCTAAGGAGTTTGTGTAATTTCTGGTGGTTTTGTTGCATGTTCAAGGCTAGTTAATGTGTGCAGCATCCCTAGCTGTGGATGGGGCATTTTATTTTCCTTTCTCACCAGTAATCCAGGACATGTGCCTGGAAAAGATTACTAACCTGTATTTATTTGTCCAGGATCATCAACATTTCTCTAGATTTGGCCAGTCACAAAATATCATCCTTTTAGAAATCACTGTCTTTCTCCATACTTCCAATATGGCATGATTTTGGTCACATATTATTTTACTTTGGTTCAGGATCAAAACGCAACAAGTTCCATTATTTATAGTCTGTATAATGGCCATTTCCTGATGTCGCCAAAATGTTTGGAATAAGGATCATGTCACTTCTATCTTACTGCTTCATCCCTTGTCAATTTTATCCACAGCATTTCCCTTTCCAATTAAAACAGCTGCCCATTTTTAGGAATGAGACCCTCTAATGAATCTCTATTAATTTCCTTTCCTTTTCCAGCTCCCAATAATATGTATTCATTTTAACTCTGAGTGCTGTAAAACTTGTTTTGGTAAGTACCTTCACTAGAGCATACCTTTTTCTTAAACCTTTTTGTTTTCCACTTCACCATTTCAGCACCCAACTCAATGTTCGGCCACAAGGATGGCCCCAGTATGCAGAGCTTTAGCAACCCTCACGAGCCCTGGAACCGACTGCACCGAACTCCTCCTTCGTTCCCGACCCCTCCGCCCTGGCTGAAGCCAGGAGAGCTGGAGCGCAGTTCATCTGCTGCAGCTCATGACAGAGATAGAGATGTAGATAAACGAGACTCATCTGTTAGTAAAGATGACAAAGAAAGGTACGAAAGAACACTTCCAAGAATTGTCTAGTTCAAAGCTTGGGGCTCTGTTCCACTTTTAACCCTTCCCAGCCTGGCACATTGTTAAACCAGAGCTTCAGAAGAGGGACACCTGCAGAGCTGACACCACTGCTGCCTACAACATGAGGCACTACAGATAATGCAGGTTTCTAACTAAGGTGTTTCCTACTGTATCTGTTTCTCTTCTCACTTGCACTGCACTTCGTGAGAAGGAGCTTTGCTGGAGCAGAGTTCAGGCTCTGTCAAGTGAGAATAGAATCAGACCCACACACTGTTACCTTGTGGGTCATGTTGTCATAGGTCTTCTGATGACCTAACGTGTAGATAGGTACCTGACAGGATTATTAAAAGGATTGTAAAGGCCATCAGATGCATATCTGCACGTTGGAATGAATAACTTAATAAATTGGACCCTATCTGCAGAACAAATAAAGCTGCCTCCCTCTTCAAAAATGGACTGACCAGAGGGACCACTGATGGAGTTGTACAATTATAACACTGTAAAATGCACCAGCTATGTCATGTTCCAATACCACCATAAGTTTCAGTGCATGCAGTTCACTAAATGAACCTTAATTCCCCTCCAAAAAGCCATACACGCACCCACTGCTGTTACACACCTTCAAGCACAGCTTCTATTCAGTGTTTTACATGGATTTGCACACTAACATGTCCAGGCTGGGAAGGGTTAATGGAAAGTAAAACCTGGTCATATTTTTTTTGTCAGGACTGTTCCCATTCTGCAGTTAACTTAGTAACAATTCCTCTTAGCATTTGAGTACCAAATTATAAGAATTTGCCATTCAGCAAGTGTCATGCCTTCCTTGAAGAATGTAGAGAGGCTGATTTCAGCTTTTTCGGTTGTGGCTTAATGGCTTTCCTGTTCAGTTTGCACATCACGTTGCTACCTAATGGCTCTTTGTTTCTAATTTTTTACCATAGAAGAATATTTAGGAGATGTGCTTTTCTGACTTCTCTGTCACTAACCCAAATATAGGCATTAGTAGCCTTTTCTAAAAGAAGTTATGCTAACATATTAGATACTCTAAAAATACATTGAAGAGCTTTTCTGTATTGTTGTAAAATGTGAAGAGCAAGTCAAACTACAGATCTTTTCACCTACATTTTCCATTGGAATATTTTCTGTTTGGTAGCATAGCTTCATTATTTTCATGTTTGCTGTTATTGCTTCAAAATAAATTGCTGTTACAAATTGGAGATTCTGTCCTGCAAAATGCTTAAGCATGTGAGTAACTTTACTGGCTTGAATGGCAAAGCATTTTAGTTACTAATGATATGGGTAGTCTTTAGAATTATGTGATGATTTCAGTTGGTGTTTTGCTGTTTTGTTACCAAATGTTCCTGCTGAAGAAAATCGCTTTCCAAAATACATTCCTTGCAAGCTGCTTTGGCATTGCCTACACTCCATATCATAGCTCAGAACATATTTATTTTCAATAATATAAGATCTTACAAATGAGCATCATTCGTGCTTCATACTTCTGCACAATTATGGCTACCAGTTCAGTACAGTTACATTTTCACTGATCCAGCATTGTTGTGCATCCATTTGTGTGGTTCTGAAGAGTTCTACTTTGCAGCATGCTCACACTGTTGCCTGTAGGAGAAGATGCTGAGAATCCCTTCACGGAGATGTGCTCCCTATGTAGATAATGTCTGGAGCAGTTTGTGAGCCTCTCATACCTGTTCTTGCATCTTGAGTGGCCCCCAGCAGGGCGAGGATGTAGCCCTGCTTTCTAGTTGAGGTCCCAATCTTTGTTACCTGTGTTTGCCAAAAAAACTTGATTTGCCCAAACAGGAGAACTGGGAATCTAGATTTCTTCTGTTATCAGTGGAAAGGGTACCTCAGTGGTGCCTCTTAGGTTGGCTCTTACCCATCTAAGTTTGGTGTGAGAGTGGGGTGCAGTGAATCATTGGTTCCTCTTCTTGGATAAGCTGCATGGGTACTGCTCCACAGCCCCCTTCCAGCTAGACTGGGATAAGGTAAATCCCTCAAGATCGCTTAGATAATATGAAAGTACAACCTCTGAACTTTCCCTAGGTGCAGAGCAGGCTGGGGAATTTACACTGAAGTGACCTCTTTCAGTCCCCACCTTCTCCTGGAGTTTGCAGTTGCAAAGGGATTTTTATTTTGCTTTAAGAATTCTCTTATTCCAGCCCAGCATTATGGAAAATATCAGTAAAAATAGCTGCTGTGAAAAATAGGATTTGTTCCTTCTCAGTGGTATTTTGTTCAAAAGATGTCACTGAGCAGTTCCATTCTAATAATGCCATTTAAGTGTATGTAATCCCAGAGCATTAAAAAAAAACCACCCAAGAATCTATTGAGCTTTTATCAACATAAATTAGACAAAATTCTCAGCATAAGATAAGCATGTTTCAGTGTAGCACACGGCCTCAAAACATACCTCTCTTAGTAAAAAGCTCAGTTGAGAACATGATCTTAAGTTTCTCCTTTGTGGAGGCAGAGGCTTAGAGCTGTTCCTGTATTATTAACCTAAGGAGCCCTTGACAAATCTGAGAATAAAAAATTATGCCCTCTCTGACCAGTGAACTACATGTAGTTCACTTAAGAGAGCTACATAATCAATAGCCTCTTGAGCTAATACCATCACTGTAATTGAATAGGATGACACTGGCAAAGGAATATGTTCTTTTGGTTGCACATATATTTTTCTTTAGTTACAGAAAATGCCTGTTACTGTGTCTAAATTTTATACATAATTTAAAATATGTTAGTTACATGGAAAGTTAATTAAATATCAGTTAAAGGACTCAATGAGCTCTCTAAGTGAAATAAAACAATTGAGAGTGTCCTCTGAACTGGTCACATCAGCAAAATGAATAAAAGACTAGGTATTGCAGGGTCCAGCCACTGCTTTCCCAGGGTCAAAGAAATAGTCTTGACATTTAGAAGCTTTCATTGAAGTGCTTTGACTTGGTCTCACTGTGTCCAGATCTGGAAACTGTTAAATCAAATGAAAAGCAAAAGGAGGGAAACGAGAGCCAGGACACAATTTCCAGACTGTTCAGAGCACAGTCAGAGCACAACCTGATACCAAGGAGTTAGTTGGTGCTCAGTGCAGACTGGGCAGTTCTGTTATCAAATGCTCCATCTTACAAGTGTTTTCTAACAGTCACGTTCTGGCTTCTGAGAGGTCCCTCAGACATGGCTCATAAAATGACAGTTTCAACAGGTCAGTATAGATACATCTGGTGAGATTATAGTGAGAGTTCCCTTTTTGAAAGACATTTTTTAATGCAATTGCTGCAGTTTCACCATCCAGAAGTACCTCCAGGCAGAAATCTTACACAGGTCAGTTCAGCAAAGAAGAAAATAACATAAGTGAAGGAGCAGGTGTCCACTCCAGAGGCATCCTCTTGAGTTGCCTTTCAGCCAGTCAGAATTGCTCATCTTGCCCAGACTGAGTTCCAACCTGCTGTCCTCATCCAAGTATGTTCAGGTTACACATTGCTAAGCAGAGACTGCAGCACCCAAGGAGAAACCATGTAAACTGGAGCTGGTGGGGACATCAGAGGGACCTTGCTGCTTATCACTCACTTTTGCCTCTATCATCACATTGTCCATCACTCTGCATGGAATGGGATTTCCATACTTACCCAGCAGCACATGTCCAGGGATTAAATTAACCTGGTGAATTTGATTCATTTGAAATAGGAAATCTTTTTCACTTAGTATTGCCCATAACAACCCCTGGTCACCACTGCTTCCAGAAAAGTAATTGGTACAGTCTATTCACATATTTAGGGTTTTATCCACTGCCAAACAATAATTCATGTGCATCATGAGTAAGTTTGAAAGTTGGAATGAATTCACATATATTGAGGCTTTCTAACACTGGGAGGCAGATGCCCTTGCCCTGGCCCTGCTCTGCTTGCTCTAGCCTACAAATGGGAAAGGGTTGGTAATCTGAAGAGCAACTGACTCCAGAAAGGTGATGTTTTCAGAGCTAGCATGAATGATGGGCATGTAGGGTAGACTGATCACTACTGGGGAAGTCAACACAAGCCATGCATGATGGCCACCTCTGTTAAAACACACTGAGAGAGGCGTGCCTGCCTGTTCAGAGGGGTGGGTTGCTGGTACAGGTATCTTGAGAGGTTTCTGGTTTCATTTTTAAGTAAATTGAACTGAAAGAAGTACCTTAAAAATTCAAAGGTTGAAGAGAACAGAGGAAAGAAATTAGTAACATACATAGGGCTAGAAATGTTTTAAAATCAGTTGAACAAAATGTCATTTATTTTCCCAAATGTATTCTTAATAGAAGCAGCAGGTAAAATACTATCAACCATGGAATTTGGATTTAATTACCTCCCTTTTTTGGATAAAATTAGTATGGTTTTATTTTTCTCTTTCTTCTTTGCAAACAGTTAAGGCTGTTATCTTAGAGACATGTACTACAGGTAGATTCACTTGGTAGCCTTCTGTGGACTTCAGTGTTTGAAATCTCTATCAGCTTGTTCACAAAGCAGCTTTAGGGATCTTCGTCTTCTGGGCCAAGATAATAGAATAGGCCTAGCTTAAAGATAAGATGTTCTTCCGGTGTTTGGGTGTGCAAAAGGAACAGTGCATTTAATGGTGCATGTTACTAGCTTTCTGCAAAGCAACAAGTATAAATCAGACACCTGAGATGCTTTGTTGTACTTGCAGTGTCTCATGCCTTCATTTTTACACTTCTCTTTCTTCTAGGGAGAGCATTGAGAAAAGACACTCCAGCCATCCTTCGCCAGCACCTATCCATCCAGTAAACTCCCTCGGACATAATCGCAGCTCAAATGAGCAGATCAGGAGCCATCTGAATCCCGAGGTTCGAGAGAAAGAGAAACCCAAAGAACGAGAGAGGGATCACTCCGAATCTCGGAAGGAAATTAATGTTGAAGAGCACAAGGTGAAGGACAACTATGTTTCAGAGAAAGAAGGCCTGAGCCATGAAAGCCGAGTGGTGGAAGAGTCTAAGCAAATGCCCAGGGTTCCTTCACCCTATGCTAGGCCCCCCGTTGTGGAAGGCACCAGGCCTAACAGTACTTCAAACCGTGAGGCTGAGAGGAAGAGTGAGCCGGCATACGATAATCCGAAGAAAAGCAACGAAGTCAAAGTGAAGGAGGAGAGAAAAGAAGACCATGATGTTCAACCTGAGGGACCTCAGACTCACAGATCAACTGATCAGCCACCACCTATATCTACATCCAACGTCCATCCAAGTCCTTTAGTGTCTATGCCCATGACTGTAGGTGTAGCTGGTATACATCACATGAACAGCATCAGTGGCCTGGATAGGACTCGCATGATGACCCCTTTTATGGGAATTAGCCCGATTCCTGGTGGAGAACGTTTCCCCTATCCTTCTTTCCACTGGGATCCAATGAGAGATCCCTTAAGAGATCCATACAGAGAGCTAGATATTCATCGGAGAGACCCCCTGGGCAGAGACTTTTTGCTGAGAAATGACCCCCTTCATCGTCTTTCTACGCCAAGATTATATGAAGCAGACAGGTCATTCAGGGATCGGGAACCTCATGACTACAATCACCACCACCATCACCACCACCCTCTCTCTGTTGACCCTCGACGTGAGCATGAAAGGGGCAACCACCTGGATGAGAGGGAGCGGTTGCACATGCTCAGAGAGGACTATGAACATGCACGCCTGCACTCAGTTCACCCTGCCGCCTTGGATGGGCACCTGCCTCACCCAAGCCTGATCACGCCAGGACTGCCCAGCATGCACTACCCCAGAGTCAGTCCTCCAACAGGACACCAAAATGGCATCCTCAACAAAACTCCCCCCACAGCAGCTCTCAGTGCCCCTCCACCTCTTATTTCTACTCTGGGACCTCGGCCTGGGTCTCCCAGAAGGACTACTCCTCTGTCAACAGAGATGAGAGAGAGGCCTCCTTCTCACACCCTCAAGGACATTGAAGCTCGATAAAGAGAGTAAGACTAAATAAAAACCAGAGAAAGAGGGACAGAAAGTTGTAAACAAACATAATATAAAGACCTTCTTACTAGTCATTGATACAGACTGGGGATGTGACCCACTGTACAATATGTATAGACCTGAGTGCAAAGATTTTGAAATGGTTTTTTTGTATATTATATGTTGAAATTTTCCAGATCTTTTAGCCAAGTTCATGTTCCTCGTGTCTCCTCTATTTTATTTCTAGTTTAAAAATTTCAGAGTTTGAACTGAAGAACAAGACATTAATCTGAATGATTTGACTAGCAACAAGCCACCACCAATGTCAACCATACAAAGCTCTTTCAGACCAGAAGTGAAGACAATTGTAGATATTTATGTAAAAAGATTGCTTCATGGGTTAATGGTTCATATATGCAAAAAGGGTAAGATGAAAGCTTTACTTTGTACAAATGTAAATAGATAAAATTAAGTAACATAATACATTAATACTTCTTAAACTGTGCTATTTGCAAACTTAATATTGATCAACACAGTCTGCTTATGCTGTGTTACATATATTGTTATAGACAGCTAAACCCCTTCAACTATGCAATGAATTTTAAGGCTTTTCACAAAAGCCTTTATAACTCAAAGGAGCCTTTTCAACACACAACATAATTAAAGTCATATTTTCCCTGAACAAGCTCATCTATAATAGAAACCTCTTTCTCTTGCTTGTTTTGATGAAGAAACACCCCATTACAAGTGTCATTTTCTGTCTGATCCCCTGCACCAAGAGGCTGATGTTACTGTAGCTCATGTACTCCTTAGAACACATCAGGGTTAGCAGTCTGTAACCTCTGGTACTGTAGTTGTACAGATTCAGTTTCAGTCACATTAATCTGGGTTAAATAATCAAATACTGGATATTTTCCAGAACTTTGTCACTTCACATGTCAAATTTATTTTGGAAGAACATCTGCTTATAGCTATTCATGTCTGGGTTTATTGCCGGTGTGGCGTTTTTGTCTGTACACACACTGGCTTGGGCTTTTTTAAGTGATTTTTAGCTACATTGAAACAAATCCTACAAGAAAGGTAATACTTTTCTAAATGATGGATATGTTTTCACTGTGGATCAGTAGTTGAATTAATGAACTCTGATGCAGATTTCATAATGCAGTTTCCTGTACTTCAGTTGGTAATAAAGTCTGTGCATAGCTAACAGGCCAGCCTTGTTGTTCCCTAATCACAGAAGACATGAAATAACCTGCAGATCATGGTCCTTTGGAAAGATGTGCATCGGTCTTCTGAAACCTGTCTTTTCATAACACAGTTTTTTATAACGTGTTCAGTTTCTTGTCTAAATATTTGGAGAGAATATGACTTTATCAGAGAGAATTCACTATCTTGTCTACTGGACTGTAAAATATATGTATGAAATAAAATTAGTTCCATTGGTCTTCTAGTGTATGAAAGTGCTATCTGAAGTTGTTACCCTGTTTTGGCAAAAAAGAAAAAGGAAAAAAAAAATAAAAAAGTTACCTACAGACAGTTGTTTCTAATGCTCAGAGATCTATTTTAGTAGTCAACTGAAGGTTTAGTTGTGAGCTTCAGATTTTGTGAACTCCAGATGTTGTGCAGTGGTTCTTTTCTTTCCTTCCTTTTTTTTTCTTTTTTTTTTTTTTTGTTTGGTTTTGGTTTGTTTGGGTTTTTTTTTAAGAACAAAAGGAAAACTAAAAAAAAAAAAAACCCAACCCTGAAGAATATGTACACTGGAACCGTAGTGGTAGCTTTCAGTATTGTAAAGAGATTGTTATATACGAACCTTTTTGCTGTTTATCCTGTATGTAATAAAGTCCTTTCTAGATCCTATGTGAAAAGCAAAGTGAAGCGGCTCTCAATCTTCAGCATGTTTCCTCATCAGCGAAGACTTGTGTGATGTAAATTGTGCCATGTTATTAAAAAATGTGAACTAAACTGCTAGGTGCTTCTTTGTGTGGAGTACCCCATCAGTGCTATGGGGAAGAAAGACCTTTTCCCACGAGTGGGGAATGTAAAGGAAAAGGCAAGCTTTTCTAAGACATCTTATTAAAATTATTCTAGAAATGAGGAAAAAAGGAACAAAAAGGAAATAAGATCCTTGGCCTGCCAAGATTCTTTTAAATGTAGTTAACGCCCTTCTTACATTAGCTTTGAGTTAAGTGACCGCTTGGTCTTTCAGGAGAGTCCCATACTTAAGCACATGGCTGTGTCAAGCCCTTTTGTCAATCTGTGCAGTTCCACACAAGCCAATGCCTTTTTGCCAGTTTTCATCTGCTAATGATATGATTATCAATTACTATTATATCAATTACAATTTATACAGATGTATGTCCCGTGTCCTGCACTTAGTTCTCATAATTCAGCTTTCATTGTATCCTGTTTTTTGGGGGTGGGGGAAAAAGCTCCTCCTCATATATGATTTCCAGGACATTTCTTTTAGTTCAGTTTTTTACAAGCTTGTAAACACTTCAAACCTTTATCCAGAGTTGCTTTGGCAGAGGTAACCTGTGACGCTGCAGTTCGCTTCCTTGAGCAAGTCTTAGGCAATCTTTCTTCTCCCTCAATAACTCAGTTGTTTTGGTAAGCAATTAAATGTATGCAGCTGTATATTCAAGTTTGGGTTTGTTTCTTCAGCCCTGGAGCATTTCTGGCTGTATTCTGCTCTTATATAAATCTGATGAAAGCAAAATTTGCCTGAATTTCAGCCATGTAACTAAAAAGAATAGCTTTATGTCTTTCATAAAATCCAGTTTTGTGTAACCTGTGCAGAATGTCCAAAAATGTGCAAAAAGATCTTTTTTTCTCTTTTTTTTTTTCCTGTGAGGAACCTGTACTCAGTCTTCTGGATGCACATCATTAAAATCCTTCCAAGTTTCTGAATGAACCAGTGGCTGTTGAAGGATGAAACTATTGGAACAAGCTTGCACAGATACGGTGTGAGGGGCCCCATGAGAGTGGGTGTAATGAAAGCATCATCTTCCAGGCTCAGCTCTGAGCATGGCAATAGGAGTCCTAATGGCTTGGCAGTGTCTTCAGGGGGAAGAAATGTGGTCTGATTGTACAGACCATGATCCTTGTCCTCTCATGCTGAGCACAGTCATGCTCATAGGTCTGAATTCCCAATCAAGCCAACAAACCCACACTCCCAGAGTCTCAGAGAGCATGGAGGCATTTCACCCCCTTTGAATTCAATACAGTTCAAGTGCTATATGCCTTTGAAGTTTCTAGTGTCAGGTCTTCTTACACAAGTGGTGATGCTCAGAGGAATATGCCTCAAAGGTATAGCAAGGGATGAAACAGGATTTTTAATGCTTCAAAACTTTTTCAGATGCATCTGTTGCTTTCCAAAAGTTTGATACAGGGGTATTAGCTTGCAGGTATTGACAATTTACATCTTTTTTGCAGGGTTTTCCATTCAAGACATTTGTGTAAAATCTCTTTTTGAATCCCTAGTATTAAAGGAAGCTTGTTTAAAGGCAACGCCAAATACCACCTTTAGGAATGAGTCATGAAGGCTATTACTCTGTAAGGTGTGAGAGATTTGTATCATAGAAAACCACAAGCTACTGTGTTTACAGACCTAGGACCTTTGCTTTATGTTTTAAAGCTCAGCTTCCCACATTCCGACTAATTTCCTACTTAGCAGCTTCCTATAACCAGTTGAGATGCCAACTGAAGCAGCATAGGGGAAGTGATCCTTTGAAAGCAGTCACATCTGATTTGATAGTCATGCTTTGCCCCTTCTTTTTAAACTTTCTATATGGTTTTCTTTGTTTCTTCTTACTAAATACTTCATTTTAACCTGGTTTTCTACTATTTACACTTCACTGATACTCTCTTACCTGTTTTGCTAGTGGTCATGTTCTCTTTCATGGCTAAATCTCTTATAGGCAGCAATAAACTCTGCAGACAAATGTTTTCTGAGAGCATAGACACTGTGTATTTTTGTTCCTTTTTACCTTCGTTTGTATGAGCTCATGAAAATTCATGGTTACTGCTGGACTGGAAGATGGGCAAATGGAGGTTGGGGGGGATTTTACTAAGAAGTATTTTCATTTGCTGTGGCTGTGCCTCATTAAGCAAATATTTAGCATGAATCTTGATAATATGAACTCAACTACTGCTTCACATGTGCAGGTGACCTCTGCTGAAAGCCACCTGGGGCACTGGAACAAGGTAACAGCCCATTGGGTTATATTCCATTTTCAGGGAAGCTACTTGGCTTACTGCTTTTGCTTCTGGCAAGAAAGAAGAGCAAGCTGTGGTATCTTTGGAGGCATACTCTTCCATAGCTTCAGAAGGTGATTGGAGCAGGATTCTAACCTAAATGGTCTGAATTGCCATTTGAAGGTGACTCTTCTTTAATTCCAGATGGAGATTAGCCTTTAACTTAGCTGGTTCAGACAAGTACATGCTAATGAGTAGTGGGAGTACCTCCTCCCTGTTAATTTTGCAGTCTCATCAGGTCTTCCTTCCTTTGCACTGTAAAGTTCCAATCTCAGCCATCCTTTATTTGAACCTCTTTGGGACAGTCTGTCTTACTACATGATTGCACCATGCTTGCTTGGTACCCTGACTGGGGCTAGTGAGCATTTCCCAGTGCTGCTATAATACAAAAAAAACATCCTGGTAGTACTAGAGACAAGAGTGAAAACTGAAGGTCTCAGTGAATTAGCCATGGTAACCACCATAAAGGACTTCAGGTTTTTGCTAGCCAGGAAGAAAAAAAGCTGCAGGTAAAGGCAAACTGTTCTCCCTGTGCCCTGTCTCCATCTGTAGGGGCTTAGACTGCTTGTGACCATGGACAAGGTGGCAGTTCCCAGCTGGCAACACCCTCAAGTGCTTATCACGGAGATGGCAGTTTCCAGCATGGTCCCATCCTGCCAGTTGCATGGTTGGGAATACACACACCTTTCTTTTTCTACAGATACCTTGCAACTAAAATCATTTTAGCACAAATATTTTTCCTGGTCATAAGGAATATCCTCCTCATTTATGCACTGCTTGCATATAGAAACACATGTATTGATACACCTCAAAATGTATACTCAATGTTGGGCAGCATCACAGGGGTGAAGCCCTGTACAGCAGAGAGCAGTGTTTGAAATCATGATGGCACTTTGCAATCTCACACAGCCTGTTCGATGGTTTCTGCTGAGGCCTTCCCTGTAGACTGCAATTGTTGTACTTGCTGTTTGGTAATACAGGCTTCACTATAGCATTATCCCCATTTTATAAATGAGAAAAGCCCCACTGGGAACAAAACTCAAGAGTCACCAGTGTAATACCAACCACTTACTGCCTGAGTCATCCTAGGAGTCACCCAAGGGAATGAGGTTACTGCCTGAGTCATCTGGAGAACAAAAACCCTGAATCAGGTAAACTGCAGTGGTGGTAAGAGATGAGCAATGTCTGGGTTGCTGTTTTGTCTTGAGAAAGCTTTTTTAACCCTAACCTATGTTAACAGCTTCCTGGGGTGCTAGATTTGCTAAAATAGATAATTCAAACACCTCAAGTACTGACCCAAATGGACAAGGTCTGGTCATTCTGATTATTGAGGGCAGATAGGCTGTATTTCAACACCTAGTGTGGCTTGTTTAATCGTTGCTGTTTCTCAGTATTGAAACTCACAGTGTAGCACTGCCGTGGTTTAAAACCAGTCAGGCAGCTTGTTCACTCACTCCCCCCCTTCTTGCCCTCCCCCTACTCACAGAGGGGCGGAGAGGAGAATCGGAAAGAATGCAACTCCCCCAGGTTGAGATACGAACAGTTTAGTAACTAAGGTATAACACAAATCACTACTGCTACAACCAATAATTATAATGATGAAGGAAATAACACGGGAAGAGAACACAACACCTCAGCACCAGCCAACAGACAACTTGCCCCCCAGCCCAAGAATCGACTGATACCTCATCCAACCCTGCAGTCCCCTAGCCCTTCTGGTAACTCTCAGTCACATCCTGGGCATGATGTCCTATGATATGGAATACCTCTTTGGTCAGTTTGGGTCAGGTGTCCTCTCTCTGCTTCCTCCTGGCTTTCCCTCCTCCCTGGCAGAGTGTGAAGCTCAGATAGTGCTTGGTCAGACTAAAACATCAGTGTTACCAGCTCTGTTCCCAGGCCAAAAGTCAAAATACAGCGCTGCACCAGCTACTAAGAAGGAAAAAAATGACTGCTACTGCTGAACCCAGGACAAGCACTTTTCTTGGTTACATTTGGGATACATTTCCCTACTGAAAAAGTTGCATTTAGTCCTAGAAACTTAACCATATACAATCATGTTTGTTTCAACACAAGAAAATAAGTGAGAACTTAATGAATTCATTAAGTGGAGACTTTACCTATCAAATACAAAATACTACTGTATGTTGATGAGGTGCACCTTGTGCTTTTCATTTTCAAAGCTCTTAACTATTTTCTGTTGAATCGGTGATGGATTTGGGGAGGGGTGTAGATTATTTTTTCTTTTCTTTTAAAGGCAACTAAAAATGCAAGTATAAACTTGTGGAATTTTCACTAGCCTGCATTTTATAAGGGCCTCAGCATATTGGGGGCAAGCAAGATGCATTTGGAGAGCATTTGTTAAAAAAAACCCAAACTCTAAACCAATTACCATCTACTCCCCCTTCTAAAGGAAACTTTTGCCTCGGTTAATACTGGAGTGGTCAAGAAGAACTGGATTTATTTTAACCTGTTAGAAAAGGCTGTCGTTCTTCAGAGATACCACAAGAGGGTAGTTAAAGAGAGACTGAAATGTGTGTAGGCTGTCGAGATGGCAGTGCTGTTTTGTGCAAGGTGAATAGCGCTGTAAATGATTTTTATCTGTGAGGAGCTCTCCTGTTCCCCTGCATAACTGACAGAAATCTCAACGGTGCTGTGGCACACAGTGATCAAGTTTGTCTAAGGACTGACCTTGCTTTATCACATTTAAT